GAAGGTTGCTGGGAGGAGTTAAATGGTAATGAATCGAGTACTTTTCGTGGGGCAAAAGGTACTAAACCAGCTCCTCTCCAGCCAGCTTTAATATTAGAAGAATTCAATGCTTTTTTTCTAATATTTTGAAAGAGTTCTACCCATTCAGCTCTTTGGATTCGCTTTACACCAGCTCGAGAATATCGATCGACCTCTAAAGCATGATATCGTTTCATTGGCCCATACACCGCAATATCAAGTGGCTGAAGCAAGTGAGAGCAATGAGGAGGTAATATAAGTAAATCAATATCATTATCTATACAGAAAGCAATAAAGCTACCTGTAATATGGCTTGAATGGCCATCCATGATCAAAAGTCGAGGTCGGTCACCTGACACTTTCTTGGATTCTGGTTCGAAAACCCTTTTTAACCATTCTAATCCATGGCTATTTGAGGTCCATCCATTTGTACTAGTAGAGAACTGCCAGCTTTGAGGTGTGTCCTTTGGAATCCATGCAGAATTCGTATTCTGAGCCTTGAAAATGACCATAGGTGATAGAGCATTTCCAGCTGCATTGACACATTCAAATGCAGTTATCCATTCTTGCTTGCCAGCTGTAACTTTCCAATTCGATTTCTGAGTAGAATCGACTATAATGCGCGTACTTTGAGTACTTCCAACTCCAAATCCGGTTTCATCCATATTATACATATCATCTAATTCATACTTTCGCTCAATGAGACGCGTGCGAAACGCGTCAAACCAAGCCTGAATATTCTCCGGAGTTGCTTCTTTAGCCCGATTAGACTCTAATTGACGTGAATAGCATGTTTTAAGTTCTGGATGTCGTTTTTGGAATCTATAGATCCATTCGTGGCCTATAGGTGGAATTTCTGTCGAGGTAGGATTTCGAGATGACGCGACCCGAACGCGTCGAAGACGAATTTCGTCGGCCATTTCCTTCACCAACATAGGTGTAGCAGGGAATCCAGTGATGGTAAGTCGTGAAATCCATCGTACAAGAGTATTTTCTTCTGCGTTTGAAAGAATTTGAGCCATTTCGTGGGTTTGGGAACGTGTTTTCTTCCCAGCCAGCCTATCAGCTAGGGTAGACTTAGGGACTTCAAAATGCTCTGCAGCCTTTCTAATTGATTTAAATTCTTTCAATTGAAGTGAAATTATAGCCTTTTGAAGCTTCTCTTCAATTTGAGCAGATGTAGAAGGTGATTGGGTATGCATAATAAAAGTTATTGCGGTTTCAAGTTGGTGATGGGCTAAAAGTGTCCGAGTTCCCCATATGTCCGAGTTCCCCATACGTTACGTTATTTATTATAATATTAATTAAAAAATACTTTTCTATTAGAATTTTTCCCTTTTTAATATTTGTTATATTGAATTTGAATATTAATCTTTTACTAAAATAATATATTAAAAGCTTTTTAAATAAATACTTTTCTTTAATATAATTAAGTTTTTTTCGTACATCAATGTTTATTTAATATTTCATTTATTATTCAAAATGTATGGATTTTTATATTTAAAAATGTATTTTTATAAGCTAATCTTTTTATACCTTTAATTAAAGTTAATATAGTTTCAAATATAAGTATAAAAAAGCTTAATTAATATTAGATTATTCGAGATTTTATTAAAATTAATTAAAAAAGAGCTTTAATTAGGTTATAAGAGATTTAAGAGATTTATTGATTTAAATTGAAAAAGAGGGGGGTAGATATACGAATTCAAATATCTAACTTTGAAAGTATAGTTTTAAGATTAAATAATATTAAACCTATTCTTTGAAATCTTAATTTCATATTCCAAAAGATAATTAATTCTTTATATATAATTTTAAAAACTATAAAGAATTCAATCTTTAAAATATAATTGATATATACTTTAATAAATTTATCAATTTAATTATTATATAAATATTTCAAATTATCAAAATAATTAAATTAAATGTCGGAACACGTGACCAACAACGTGATATTACATGTCACGCTTTACCCCACATACACACGAAGTGTGTAAATAAGGATAATACATATATATAGATATAGTAATTCCTTTTTCATATAAAGAGAGTAGATAAAAATAAACAATCTTTTTACCTATACATATTATGTATACACACCTTACCAAGTCTGCCCAACATTAAATGATTTGAATATGATAATAAATATAAATATATAATATTGTTCTTTTTATAATATATTTAAAAAGCTTTTGATTTATGGTTTTTATGTTTATTTAGTATTAATATTCGATATTTACTCTTTCTTTAATTCTTAATATACTTATTAAAGTATTTCCATTATTTTAAACCTATCTCATTATTTATCCATCTATTAAATATAGATTTAATAACTTAATCCATAGGAAAATTGATTTCAAAATATCAATTAAAAAGATAAACCTATTTTTAAACTATTAGAAATAGGGGTATAGTTTCACCCTCCTTACTACTATATATAATTATTATAATCCATTCTCTATTACCTAATTATATTGCCTTACTTCTGCCATTTTGTTTAATACTAATTATTATTATTTTAGAGTATATTATATCTATTATAAAGCCTATTTCATCGAAATTATAAAAATCATGATCAAGAATACTATATTTCATTTGTATATTTGAAATTAATTGAAACCATTTTTTAATAAACTTAGAATCTTTGTAAAAAACCCTTTGAAAATTGTAAACATAATTAAAATACATTTTTAATTTAATTCGATGTTTTATAAATCGATATATTTAAAGCTTTTCAATATACTTTACATCTTTTAATTTAAAAATATAATTTATTATATCTTTTATATTTCTTAATTTAAATAAAAATCCTTTCATATCTATATCAATTATATATTTAGAAATAATATTCCTTTTTAATTCCAAAAGATTATAAGATTTAGATCAATATTTGAAATAGAAAATAATATTATATTCAAGATATTATATATCTTTATAATCTTTTGAATACTTATTTTTTTATTTTTTTAAATAACTTCAATAACAAAAAATATACAGACTTTTTGATTATTCAAATTTATTATGGATTGTTGATAAAAATATAACTTATATTAAAAAAGAAAGAATGAATTAAAATAAAAATGATTTGTATATTGATATAACCCGCATACTGATAAATCACATTAGATATTTTGTTTTAGGTTTATCTTTCCATTGCATTTGAGAATTAAAGAATTTCATCATCTCTCCATCTCTCCATCTCTTCATACTATGTTGACGGCTTGCCGTCCCTGGTTTGGCCATGATATCACCCACAACAAACATGCCGAGATTGCTCCCAACCTGTGTCTTGCTTGAGTGGAGAAGTGGAGATTTCCGTTTGTCATTCCGTGGAAATGGAAACCAAGATCTTCATCTCAAAGCGTCTATTTCATTCACTCAAACAAGCACCATCAGCTACAATTGTCATGATTTCACGAGCAGATTGAAAATGGCTACTACAAAATGGTTGTGAGGTCGAAAGTTCGACTGAGAATGATATTTGTATCGCCGATTGGCAATATTGAAAATGGCCAGAAGGGGTTCAATCAAATTCGTCGATTATTATGGACAAGACCATCGGCATTGAATTCTGTCCATGATTTTCTGGAAAGATAGAGTATGTTGGTCGTACAGAGTGCGAGCAGTCCTTCCCACCGGCAACGAGCCCAGGTTTGAACCAGGGTATCATACATTTATTGTAACCTTCCTGCCTCCTATAACGAACATTGAGAGCTTCCATAAGCTCGCACCACCCAATCAAATGATGCTTCGCTTCTGTTGAGGTTCCATTGGGACAATATTTGCCTTGTCACATGAAAAGCAAACCGATTTTTTTGATTTTTTTTTTGATTAATGATGCCTTTCCCAGGGGGATTGCAATGCTGTTGCCATGCTTCATGCATCATGCAAACACGCGTACTGCCATCTATCTAGGTGTCTTTCGGGTCTTTGAAAGATTCTTTAGCACACCAGGTAAGGATTCTAGCACAGAGAACAAGAAATGACTGGGATTGAGTTTAGTGCTTTCTCTATATTTTTTACTGAACCCAATCCCAACCATTTCGAATTGATCAATAATTTCAATAATTTCAAGCAATTGGAAGATATTAATTTGTATTACGATTATGTGCACTAGAATCCTTATCTGGCAATCCTCATTTGGCACATAAAAGGGTCTAACAAAAGCCAGGAAGACCCTTGATCTTTAAGATTGTGCGTACTGCACGATTTTCTTATAAGACAAACCGACGACTACTGTCAACAACTAGATTTTGTTTGTACAAATTAACCTCTGTTGCCAAAGGTAATGTAATTTTCAATTGACTTAGAACCCTTCTTCTCATCTCTTCAATTTACATATCCTCCCACCAACCTTCTTGGTCGGAAGATAGAAAATCACAAAGCAAGAGAAAAAACGACACAGGATGCCGGACAATCCGAGATACGCATTGCAAGATGTACCGGGGAAAGGGAAAGGTCTTGTTGCAACCCAGGACATTCCCAAGGGTACTCGAATCATTGAAGAGAAGCCAATCATGACGAGGCCAAAACGAGCACCCACAGGATTTTCCCTCCGAGGTCAATTCAATGCCCTCAATAATCAACAACAGCAAGCATTCCTGTCTCTGAAGAATGTACACCCTTACAAGAATGCGGATGAGCAATATCTCGGTATATTCAAAACCAATGGTCTTCCCATGGAAAGTGAAAATGAGGGCGGACTGTTCATTGAAGCCTGTCGGATCAACCACGCCTGCGATAACAACGCCTCTAGCAACTGGAACACGAATATCAAGAAGCACACTATCCACGCGCTGAGAGACATCTAAAAAGGCGAAGAGATCACGATAAGCTATCTTGGATCTCGCTCATGGCCTCGCGGAATTCGACGTCAGGTTCTTCAAGAGAAATTCAAATTTTTATGCTCATGTAATCTTTGTTCTTTACCTGCCAGGGAATCCATACAAATTGACAAAGAGTTAATGAATATTGCTCGGATTATGACTCTGATTCCAGGGACCTTTATGAGATATCCATTGCAGGGCCTCCGTTACATGGATCAAGCAGTTCAGCTACTCTCTGGCAAAGAACTGGGTGGCAGCTTGTTGGGTGGTCTTTTTGTTGAAGCTTCTAAGATGAACATAGGTCACAGCGACTTGGCACGAGCCCGTATCTTGGCTGAGAAGGCAACACCTTACTTGAAAATATCATATGGCAGTGACAGTCTACAAGTGCTCGACAACCAGCATCGAGCGAACCATCCGTCTAAGAACATCTATTACGGCTTATCATCTCTCGATTGGGCGACACCCGTCCATGATGTCCCGTCGAGTCTTGATTCCACCGGATTTGAAGACTGGCTTTGGAGAAGAGAGGGACTGCAGAAATCACAAATTTATTTCGAAAGCCCAAACAGCTTTTTGAGCAATTTCACTTTCCTTTCATTCCTGGAACTTCCGCATAGGGATCGGAAGAGCCCAGAGTTCTATGAGAATGTTGGAAAGTCTAATTGTCGACCACGACGCCACTGGTGTTTCTTGGGCGAGATTCTGGAGTTTGACTTGTCAGATCTCGTAATTGTGGTCAAAGACATCGATGACACAAATGTCGAAATCTTACTCGAACCCAATGCACGAAGCATATTTCCTAGACTTCGAAAAGCGCACACGGTTGCAATTCTCTATGCACAACGCGACGGCAATATTACTGAGCCTGAAATCGGCCTTGAAAACGTTGCATTATTTCAGGTATGGTACCCAACTGGTTTTTACTAAATACCGATATAATGGTCAATCATTAACAATGTGATACAGATCTTCCCAACATCGTTGTCTCACTTGATTGCATTAAGAGATCTGACTCAAGAATTCTCTACGAAAAGAGAGACTGATAATGCCAGAACATGCCATGGATGTGGTAAGAAGTCATCGTCAATGGTGAAATGCAGCGGGTGTTCCCTTTTCTGGTATTGCAATCAGGTTAGTCTAACACAGAGGCTCCGCGATCATGTATACTAGTGTGCATGCTAACTGTCATGTGCACGACAAACAGAAATGTCAGAAGAACGGCTGGAACACTAAGGGCCACAAAAATGATTGCAAAATCCTCAAAATGCCTGATATGCGAGGAATGTTTTTAATGAAATGGGACGAGTTCAATGGCGTTGTTCGATTTCCTTTGCCTTTGCCGACGGTCGTGGGAAATTAAGCAGGAGATATCTCTAGAACATTTGCCATAGATAGAGGTTCATGATAGAGTGAATAAAGCCACTACGTTCTACTTCTTTATCATCTTGGAATTTGAGGCAGAAATGCAGTGCTTCATTCTATGCTTCTATGCGTCACAAGTTTTCTTGATTGCATGCATGAAGGATCAAGACGTCTCCCTTGTTCATTCTTTGATGCGATTTCGCAGGTTTACAAGTCACATGCATCATTAATTCACATCATTTGTATAAGTCTCACATTCGCTCTGGTCAAACGAATTCACTGCAAACAACTTCATTATGTTGGTTATATTGACTCATCTTCCTACAGCGGTTCTTATATTCACTTCCACAAAGTCTCGATACCTGAATTTCGCATGAAAAGTTCAAGCAGATCCGAAGGCGGACGGTCTGAATAAGTGTATCATGATGGCTGATCAGATGTATGCGAAGCGGAATGTGCCAGGGAAAGGTTTAGGTCTCATTGCGACCAGAGATATTCCCAGGGGCACACGAATTCTTTCAGAGTCGGCATTGATTTTAGGACCTGAATTAGTCGGAGATGATCTTCGATCTTGCATCTCAGAACAATGGTCTAATCTCAATCGTCAACAGCGACAGGATTACGCTTCTTTTGGTCATATGCACCCATGCACAAATGAAATCGAACGACTATGTGCCATTTTCAATACAAATTGTCTGCCCTTGAAAGGAACTTATATGTCAGAAACCGGCAATCCAGACGGATCTCAAAACCGACATAAAAGAGGCGGGCTTTTCCCTACTGCATGTCGTATCAACCATGCTTGTGATCGAAATGCCGGAGCACACTGGATGGAGAGTAGCCAACAAATCGCTGTCACAGCTCTGAAAGACATTAGCAAAGATGAGGAAATTACGATACACTATCTTGGTCTCAACAAGCCCCGCAGAGTTCGGCGTGCGATGCTTCAGAAAGATTTCGGTTTTGAATGTTCATGTGGTCTTTGCTCCTTGCCCGCAAAAGAGAGCAAGAACAGTGATAGGCAATTGGGGGAAATACCCAGACTGTCGTTATTTATTTTCGGCCGTATCGCAGCGAGCAGACGCGATAGACCATTGCGGGAACTCCGTGAATTCGACCAACTAGTCCGCCTTCATAATGAGCAGGAAACCGGCACTGCCGATATGGGACGAATCTATGTGGCTATTGCTGAGGGGGTTCTCAAGCATAGCGACTTAGCCAGAGGAAAGGTTTTCGCGGAAAGGGCAATATCTGACTTTGAAATAGTCTATGGCAGTGACTGTATGGAAATACAGAAATGGGGGTACCTAGTCGATGACCCTACTGAATACGAATTATTTGGGCATTCGAAGGGATGGAAAACAACAGTCGATGCAATACCCACTGGTCTTTCTCCCGAGAAATTCGAAGCCTGGCTATGGAAAAGGGAATCAGTGCGTTCCGTGGAACAGATAGTCGACTTTCGAAGCCGCGCCACTTTTCCACCAATTATCCACCTGCCCGTCTCAAGCAATAGCGACTACTACGAGACCAATGAAGTCTCTTGTTCTAGGGCACGAAATCATTGGTGTTTCTTGGGAGAGATTACTCACACAACTAAGTTTGGAAATTCATCATTGGCAGTAAAAGATGTTGATGGCAAAGAGATCAAGCTTAAATTCGAAACCGAAGAAAAGGGGAGAGAGTTACCACCAAATAGAGTCAGAAAAGGATACACCGTTGCGATCATCAACGCAAAACCTCACGAGTTTCCAATTGAGGATGAAAACTGTGGTGGAAAGATTGGTATTCTTCATGACGATGAACTTTGTTTGAAGGTACTGTGCTTATTATTTCTATATCTCCATAGCTCTTTTAACTGTCTGTCGCTAACCATATGCAATATCAAATAGATCTTCACACTTTCTTTAGTAGAGCTATTCGCGTTGAACGATCAGATTCAAGTATTTTCAACAGAATCCAATGGTCTGAGAATGTGCCATGGATGTCAGATGAAATCAGCCTCGCTGTTCAAGTGCCCGCGATGTTCAATGTTCTGGTATTGCAGTAGGGTAAGACTTGCCCTAATCTTTCTTCTCCCCTTCTTTTGATTTTGTATTGATGACTTCGATGCTAATAATATTTTTGTAACGAGTAGGCTTGTCAGATAATTGGATGGAGTCAAAATGAACACCAAGATGTTTGTAAATATCTCAGAAAAGAACCTGATTTTACTAAATTGTTTTTCCTTGATTGGGAGAAATATGATACTCATGTTCAGTTTCCTTTGCCAGCTTAGATAGGTAAATTTTAAGTGTTACGGGGAATATCAATAACAGAGTAATATCACAATGGGTTAGGAAGTAGCATGGATGAAGGTGTAGTAAATCATTTTGATCAAGTCAGAGATTGGTGAACATAAAGTTTTGGGAATAGCTTGAGCGAATGTAGGTACTTTTCTATTATTCCTTTGGGTTCTAACCCAAATTAAATACCCTCTCTGACTTTGCATCTTCCATTACTAGGCAGTCTTTGAATCTCTGCAGTGCTCATCTCCTCATTACGCAATCTTTCAACCCATTTCTGATCCAACTGAACCCTCGCTAGAATCAAATATCCACTTAATTAAGCTTTCACCACATCCAAAAGCCCCAATACTCATCACACTATCCTCCTACCAGTACTTTCATTTCCACTATCACGCCAAGTTCAAACCCTATGAAAGAGGCCAGGACGATCCCATTTCGTCGTACCCACCGAACTAACAGGCGAAACAGGTCGAGAACCATAGTTCTCTTCATCTTGTCTCGGCATCTGCGTTGGTACAGCGCTCACACCCGGATTACTGACCGACTGACCGATTCGACGTCTTCCCATACCTGCTCCAACCTTTCCACTTTCAAGTGCATCAGCTCCCAGCTTTCCGACAACGATATTTCCCCCATTCGTTTGTGCTCCCAGCGTACTAACCCCAAGCGAAGATCTTCTTTCCGGAATCGTCCAGCTCAATCTCGATTCCTTCACTCTGTCTTGTTCTTTTTGTGGAATCTGCTCAGTCGATTCTTCGTTGAGACTGTTGTGGGTAGCTCTTTGGCCGTGGAGATAGCTTGCATATCCGTTCTTGACGCGGGTTGAGACGGCGTGTTGTGATGAGGAGATGTCGATGGGTCGGGAGGCGTGGAGACTGCTTGAATTGCTCGTCCGAGGTGCGTATGCGCCCCGGGTGGTTCGGCGTTGAGATTTTTCGTTGGGAGGGGGGGATGGTTTGGAGGGTAGACAGCCCATTTTGGAGGATATGCGAGGGAGATTTTGTTGGAAAGGTCTAGGGAGTCAAAGTCGATGACTTTTTATGGTGGCATTTTTGAAGAGATGTGGGTGAGTGAATCTCGAAGCTAATAATATCCAAACTTTGAGTGTGATACTTGCTATTCACTTACGGTTGAATGACGAATTATACAATGAGTAAAATCACCAAAAGGCTTCCACCATTAGCCAGATTTCTCACAGTAATATGAATGGGTAATTGAAATTCTAGATGGCATAATAATCTCTACGTGAACGCATCGAGATTAAATCTTAACTCATACAATCCACCACTCAGTTCCTCTATCCAAAGCACCAATTCCACCACCTCGACCAACGATTCACAACAGCCCATGGCATATCACACTTCCCCAATCCCTTTTCTGCTTTACATCTCTTTGTATCATCATCTCCCTCAAAATTCCTATCCATCTCACTCATCTCATCTATTACAGCCATAGCATCAACTACCAACCATGTTTCTCCTTCCGCATCTCCATCACTCTTCGAATGCAACTCCTCTTCTTCCTCTATCTTCCTGACCATCTGCTGATTCTTCATGCGTTTGACCATCTCTCTCGCTTCTTCAATTCTCTCTTCCTCTCTAAATTTGCGAGCCTCGAGAAGCATGGGTATCAAACTGTTTGTGGGCCATGCGAGATGAGACATTTCTTCCCAAATTTGGGGGTCATTGGTGATATGTATCTTGTCAATTTCAATATCCATTTTGGACGTGGTTATAGGGAAGGTTATAGATGGATCCTCGGGTGTTTCTCCGTCCATTTTGTTTGATTTCTGTTTGGTTTTGTTGAGGTTGAGATGTATATACCTATTTTGAAGCATTGGAAAGGTTGTGAGAGAGATACTGGGAGTTTGCATAGTAAATGATGCGGATTATATATGGAATACAAGAAATGAACTTTTTCTCTTTGGGCGTTCATCATTGACCGTGAAACACTTCATCTGCAGTAATATTCACCAACAAGCAGTAGCAGTTTTAAATTCAGTACGCAGACCATCGATGACTCAATCATATTGCAATCGTCAATCATGACCGTATGAATGTGAATATTCACAGAGGCCACATGGAATCTTAAACCTGAACCTAGTAGACCGAATTTGTTTTATATTAGGGCTTGTTTGGATATCAATTCTGGTTAGAATCCACCAAATCATCTGTTTTTTTCTGCTATAATGGATTCTGTAGCAGTATATCTTGAATCTAAAAAAAGAAATTCTTGTATTTCGTTTTTTTATTTTATTTATTTATATATATTGATTTCGGTATAAAATCTATAGAAATAAGAAAAAATAGAGTATATATATAATATACATATACGCTTTTAAATAAAAGAAATTCGAATCATTAATATATAAACAATCTAAGTTTATTATTATCATTTGAATGATTTAAATAAGCGAATGTAGGAATAACTTTAATTTTATTAATGTAAATATAGGAATAATGTTTTATTTAATTAAAATTTAATTTTTATAAAAAACCTGAAGTTTTAGATTATATACTTCATAATTTTAAATTATTTTCTATTCAAACAGAAATACGGGATTTGTTGTTGAAATGAGCAGATTATTTAACGGAATCTGACCGGATTTGTGCATCCAAACTACCCCTTAGATTTTCAATCTGCCTAGATGTATAAAGTGGGAAACTAGGTTCTTTTACTAATTACCATCCATCGCCCAGCTACTTTCTCCACTACTTCAATTTCCTCCTAATAATCCCCCATCAAATAATCTACACATCCATCTCACACTCAAACATGTTTTCCTCTCCATCCCTAGATCCATCAAAATAATCGCTATCCGCAAAATGAACCTTTCTCTTTGTAATCTTATTCTTCGCCCTGGAATGATCGGCACAGCCGCATTATTATATCGATAACTTAACTTACTTCCTCAGATCATCAAGCGATTTCTGCGAGCCAAAATCCCTGACGATTATCCTAGTCACAGTTAGTATGCGCTTCATCTTGGATTCAAATAGGTGGTGTTTACCCTCCAGGCTTGGTTAGAGATTCTTGAGAATTCATACGTTTATCTTTGTTTCCATGTTTGTTCTTCAACCGCATAACGAGAAGGGGGTGGGGAGCAGTGGTATTTTTCTCTGCTGTGGTTTCTGGTTGGAGACTCGAAAGATCGAGCACCGATTTGGATTTTGGAGGCGATGGGATTTGCAGGGTGTTATTGCAAGTTTCGCCGAAGAGGAGTGTAGCAGTTTGAGGCTGATTTAGTGTGATGGATTTGCTGCGGGCTCTCGGAGGTTGGTCTTCAGGTGTCAAAGTTGATATTTTAGTGATGTTATTCTTCATCTCAGTGATTTCTTGGTGTTTTTGAGGTACTTTGTACATTGAAAAAAGAAAGTATTTCATTGTGATGAGAAGGTAGCTCTTAAGTGGTCTTTTACAATGGAGGGAGATTATTCATAGGTCAAAAGTATTGATTATTCGCATCATACCACTTATTCATATTCTCAAGACGGATTCAGTCATATTTCATAAAGAAAGAATTGTGATTAATAGAAGTCTATTGATTATGCTAATAAGTGGTCCTAGTCCCGGGTAGAGAATGACCCAAGATATAGAGAGTAAGCTTATGCGGGTGCTTAGAAATATGCTGTGTCAATATCCAACTCGCACCGCATTCATCGCAGACTCAACTAATCATAACGAGAGCCGGTCTTCAATTTCTCACCTTGATTTGGAAATCCTTTCGGTACAACTCTCAATGAAGTAATTACTTCTCCCTTTCCCTCACTAATCGACTGATCAGTAGCCCAATGAAAACCCTGACCACATCGATAACCACCCGTGATCCTAAACCATCGACATCCTCTAGGACATGTGTTACCAATTTTTCGAAGTTGTGATTTGGCCCATGAGTCTTGAATGAAAAATTCTTGAGATGCAATATCCAGATTCCCAATTCCTGATTGAGACACAGCCATTTCTTGATCGTGTTGACTTTCTAATCCTGGAAATGGGACGACGAGAGCTTGCTGCTGTAGAAGTTTATCAGTTAGTGATTCTCTTAAATTTCTCAATTGATTATATGAAGGGTTGCATACCTGTTGTGGTGATGGCGTAGGAGATACTACACCTCGTCTATCCTGCCCACCTGTCGATTGAAGCTCTCTAAGACTAGGCATCGGATTTCCCGGTTGCACAAGCGAACGGAAACCCTTTCCTCGAGCAATTCTTCCACGAAGTTTTTCTATTGCTTCATCCTGTTTTGCCTTGCGCCATTCTGGGTTCTGACGTGGATCAACATACTGGGCTGCTTGACCACGAGGATTTTCAAGTTGAGCTCTGGCTTCAGCTTCGTGGGGATATATTGTAGGTGGACCTTGTCTGTTAGTAGGCATGATGCTAGATGGTGGGTTGCCTCCAAATGCTGGATTGGTTCCGAAAGATTCTCTACGTGGTACTTGAAATTGAGGTCGTTGGCCGAGATTAAAGCGCCGGGAATCTTGAACTTGTTGTTGCAAATGAAATGGTGTTGTTAGAGTTGGTTGAAATTTGGGAGGGCTTTGTAGCCCAGAATGAGGCGGTAGTTGAACTTGTGATTGAGTTCGGTTAATAGGTCCAGCGGGTCTTTGTGTCCGAGTCTGTGATTGAGTTCGTTCAAGAAATCCAGCTGGTCTCTGTGATTCAAATACAGATTGAATTGATTGCGCAGATCCGAGAGGTGGCTGGCGCTGTGATTGTGATTGAGGAGAGCCCGGGGCCGCTTGGCCTTGACCGATTGGCACTGCAGTAACTCGTGATTGGGAGCTTCTACTCTCAGTGACACGGGATAGTGTTCGAACTGTTCCGTTTCCTAAATCAAATTGTAGTTGACTAGGGTTCGAAGAACGAGCAGAACTCGGACGACTAAATTCTGTCACGCTTTGATTGGTAGAACGTTGGTCTGTAGGAAGAGGATTGTTAAGAGCTCGACTTCTACCATGACTGGCAGAAACTTGTCGCTGGCTTGTGGTGAGTGGAAAGTCCATTCTACCAAGGCCAGCAGGAGCTTGACTTCTACTAGAACCGGTAGAAGCTTGGTCTGTAGTAAGTGGGATATTGATTCTATCAGGGCCGTCAGGCGCTAGACTTCCTTGTGAAAGTCTACTTACACCACCGTCACCTTGACCTCCCCTTCCATTCTTCTTCTTCCCTGCCATATTGATATCTGAATTGACTGAAGATAGAATCAAGTTGATGGTGGCTCGAGGATTCTTGTAAATAGCTTGAGGTGAACGTGAATTGAATCAACAAAGTGAAGAGTTTTATAATAAATTGGAGTAGACGTTTAGCCGTAGTGACTGCATTTAATAGATGGTGTATCTGAGAGTCTACATCCACACAGGGAGGTTGCTACGACACTTTTTAAATAACCAACTTGCCAGAAACCAAATTGACAAAGCTGTACGAATGGTTATGCGCTAAAAGACCGCACCTATGCTCAATCGAGGTACTGCAATAAAAATAGACAACTACGGCATCCCAAAAGAAACTTCTATTCTTCCAGTCCGCTGCTACTTATTCCACTTAGAAAAGAGTGACTTCCATAAGACGTATATGCTGAGTTCCGAGGGCGTACTCCGCTTCCATACACATGGTAGTAATTAGAATGAGACTACAACTAGCTCCAATAATTATGTAATTATAACTACAGCCAAAATCAATTAATCGACTAATTATTATCTTAATCAACATTTGCAATCTACCTCGTCGGTTTACTTCGACTTACGAGATGATGGTATAAATAAGATGCATGAGAATCTCCGAGGTACTGGCCATGGAGCAATTTTCTCGGGGTATTATGTGTGAAAAACTTTTGGGTGTATCCCTTCATGATCATCAATCCTTCCATCATCATTTACCCCTATTGCTCCTCAATCTATACCACCTAACAAGCCACAAAATCAACGCCAGCGTTGACATTAATCTTATGCCGGCACCAATCCAAACACCTTTCTTCATTGCATCATAATATCCTTCTAACATAACGCCTACTGCATGTTCTTTCGTCTTATTCTTTCCTATTAAAGGCCCTCCGCTTTCAAGCATTGCAACAGCAGTTGTTTCTCCATCCATTGCTGTTTGATTACCAGTCCCATCGTGCGCACTCCCTCGTAATCGTTCCGTATTTCGTTTCTTGATATTTCGTGTAAGCAGATTTATGATGATTCGTATATCCGGCGAAGTAAAAGTGGGATATTCCCATAATTCAACCGAATCATGAGGTGGTAGTTGATCGAGAAAATCAGCCACCATACCCAAGGTTAACCCCCAAAGTAAGAGTGGTCTATCGCTTTGTGCTTTCTCCCCCCCTTTAAACCAAGTATAAGCTCTTTCAATGATGCTTTTCTTAGGTTGCGACTCTTCCGAAAAATATTCCTTCGTTGAACTGCAATACAATGATTCACTGGGTCGTAATCGAATGGCCGAGAACCTCATTTTGCCTATTATCGGCTTCAGTATCGTTTTCAATACTACACCCCCTTGCTTGGCAAATCGATCGGATACATTAACATATTCATATGTGCGGACTGATGGCGAAAGAAGGACGCGTAGGGGAACCCAATGCGTTGATGCTATTTCAGCAGGCTGTAGCTGGAGTGGTGGGAATGCTGGACAGATCCAGATGAAGAGGAACGGACAAAGTACCATTATTCTATTTCGGAGACAGTATCAGCAATTTCTCTTCAATATTTCTTGCCTTCTCGTAGTGAATTGAAATCCATCTATCAAAGGTAACTCACGGCACTGATCCCCAGCTTGTAGATACTACCCTCTCCGGCAAGTTCCCAACATATACACATCTCTCCCCCCTTAAATCCAACCCAATTTCCTCACTAGTTTCTCTCACTGCGACGTCTTTATCACTTGCATCACCAGGATCCCTCTTTCCTCCTGGTAGCGCGACATGACTCGTCCATCGATCTCCTTCTCTTGCCGCGCGTTTGATAAATAACAATTCAGGATCACCGGTTTTCACCCATGATTGTTCAAAGAAATTTGCAAGTCGCTGGTCCGTTGGTGGTTCTGGATATGGAAAGACTTGAGGGGCTGTAGGAGGAAGATCATGGCGAGAAGGACGGATACGTAATACTAGAGCTACTGATGCGCGCCTTGGACAATTTGGTGGGTTAGGTATGTATGGATATGGGTTTTGTGAGATGTGGAGGAGAGTGTTGTGGAGAGATGTGGTAATGGAGGGAGGGGATTCGAAGGACATTTCCCTTTTCCCCGTGTCTCAGGGACAATAAACCACAGAGCAGGAATCAATGGGATGATGTTGTGATTTGTTGTACGAATATCAATTGACACAGCGCAGAACAATTAAAAAAATACCGGTGAAGCTGTTCGAAGCCGCGGTTTCGCTTATCTTATCTGAATTATAGGCTGTTCAGGCTGTGACGTGGTGCCTAAGTGGGTCACGATAGGCTAGGGATAGGGGAAAATGCTAAAAAGCTCGTGGCAGAAAACGGCAGGTAGGTACCAGATAATGGAAGATCGTACAAGTGGATGAGAAAAAAGCAAATTTTGATTTAAATACAATTCGATTGTTTATATAATATCATTCCCAAGATAAATAATCACACCTTTCCGTTCGATTCGGACTCATCTCTTTCAAATCTCTTCCTTCCGAGGTTATATGCACCATAGTCGTGGGCATGAACGTACGGCGAACAGCTATCCACTTGCCCCACACAGGTACATATATACCAACCAGCCCCCTTAAATTAAGACGGGTCCGCGTTAGCTCACCAGGCGGTGTCGATTCCTTTATTTTGAACAAGAACTATTCTTTGGTTGAATGGCCCAGTTCAGTGGAGAATGAACGTCTATCTTTAGCGAGAAAGTCAAAACTCAAGCAGACCAAACTTGCAAAGATTTTCGGGGGCTCTGGGTAGTACGATATGCCCTGACTGCATCTGCTGCGAACTGGCTCAGAGATGGAGGACGTCATACGCCTCCTGGGTATGGTATATAGTGGGCATCATCCCAACTTCATACTCAAGATTGCGGATCTGATCGTACGGAAGTGGCTTCGTATCGATCCATTGCTCTTACTCTTGCGATAGTTTGTTCTTTAATTTGGGGAACCTAGAGATGCAAAGACGCATTTGCAGAACATCATGCATGCATGAACTACCGGTGGGAGCGATGTATTCATTGCCATTTTAGAACAATATCCATTGTGTCGATAGTGGAGCCAGAACAGATGGATCGGGTTCTAGAAACCTAGCACTTGGGTGGCAAATAGTGTACCTGTCGATCGATAGTTTACGAATAGCGGAAAGGTAACTCTGAGACAAATCTTGGTTCACATCCTCTTCCGGCAGCTAAATGGACACCTCTTCAGCTTTCTGCGGAGATCAATTTCAACTGCCATTATTGTATAGAACGCTGTACCGGATATCATCCGAAGATGAGCGAGTCTCGACCAATTGTGCGATTGATGATGCTTCTCATTCAGCTAGGCTCATTTTGAAAGACACCGTTGATGACATGTTTGTTTGACGATTTCCCGGTATGAGCATCTCTAGCAACATGCTAATCATATAATTGGATAGCATGGCGAGCTTCTGAGTTGAATGAATGTACCAAGCCAGGTCAATAAGTTAGAAACTATGCACTTCGTCAAGCTCGTGAAGCTGTTGTTCATTTGATCTCTAATTCTGGGAGGTTACTGTCGTTTAAATTCCAATTATTTGTTGTCAAGAGAGTTCGTAGTCGGGATATCGACCGCGAGGATTCCTTTTCGGAGCAGGTGGTGGAGCATCGGCCATGAACTTCACAGTACGTGTGGATTTCTGTTTCGATGATTCAACGAAAGCCGGTGGCCTTTCATAGTTTGGGTAATAGCCAAAGTTTGACTGCAGTGGCTGCCTTTTGACAGACGGTTCTAAGTCATCCTGCGACCTGGCTGAAGGTATTCGGTATTGAGGCCCTACACGGGGTTTCTTATTTGGAAGGCAACCAAATGCGAGTTTCGGCCCGCCTTTACGTTCTGGAAGCGGTCTGATGGTTTGTGACTCTAGCTGTTTCTTCACTGATCGGGAATGTTGAAGAAGAAGGTAGTATCCAGCAGGTTTGTCTGTTGAACCAGCTGTTGGAAGATCCAGCCTCATTTGTCCCTGCGGCTTTAGCTTTGGCAATGGCTCTTGAGTTGTGACAAGTGTTGCATTGGAGTTCATGAGGCTCGAATCGTCTTTAAAACTAGACTCAAGATATCCAGGTTGGAGCAATAGAGGTATTGTCGACCGCCCGAAGTCCGAGTCAAACCTTTGAGCACTCGCCATGATCAATACAAGAAGATCTGGTTCAAATCTCTTAGCAGTGCAAATTAATGATGGAAATCTGGGGGGAAGACAAGATGTAGGGAGAGTATTGGATCTGGATATTCAAGATATAAGACTAACGCAATGTATAGTACAGATTCGAGACGTCAAAGGGGTGAGATTTAAGATGTTGTAAGGCACAATATCAAATGAAACGGCACGGAGTGCAAGAAGCCTCGCTAGCCAACTTTAATCCAAAACTGATAATCATCATGTCCAGCCAGAAAAAACCAGTCTTGATACCAACGATAATCTTAGATAGATTTATGCAAAGCAGTATGCAGTACATTGCACCGTGCTGAATCCAAAATCATTATCGCATACAAGCTTTGGACTGTCAACGTCATATACAAGCTTTATGGTTTCAGATCTTGAATCTGACATTCGGATGTTCATCGGATCTTTGGAAACTTCAAAATTGGAGATCTCTCAAATGCTTGTTGTCGTTCAATACTCTGACCAATAGGTTGGGATACATGTACAATGGTCTTTCAACCGTCGTTTCAGAATTTGAGATGCCATTTTCATCTTTGAAAGATGAGACGACCCGAGACTTGATGGTTGCTGAAGATATATGAAGAGATATATTGAATGTACGAAGACGGATTAAATTGGTTAATTGGTTAGAAATACGAAACACTTTGAAGTTGTAGGATTCTATGGGAGTGGCTTAATGTGGCTGTGATTGTTGGTACTAGCGAGGCCGCGGCCCTCGCCTTGAGGTTGCACCACTTTTCGTGACCGCGGTCAAATTGTTTCCAACAACAACCCAAATCATCAAAGTATAGGAACCTAAGCTGGCAACAATTCGAATGGATATGTTCTCTGTACGTTATTCGATATGCCTTCTGCAATTACCATATCCGCCATAGACACAGAACCAGCGATATGTTCAGTGGAGAGCTCAGTTCAAACTGTCTTCGCAATCCCTGAACTTCTAGAACTTATCCTCCTCCAGCTACCATTTCTCGATCTTGTTCGAGCTCAAATGATTAATCAAAGCTTTTATGATGTTATCGAATCCTCAAACTTGCTTCAACAAGCTCTATTTTTTCGTGCATCTCCAGCTACCTCATTTCCACGACCCAATCCTCTCCTTCAACCTTGTCATAACGCTCAGTTCCTAGACTTACGATCGACTCAAACACGATGCAGGTATCTACATAACCCGCGAGGTCGGCGCATGGCAGATTGGAGCAAGTGGCCCGCTCTAAATTATCGGGATGGGTTTAAATTGAATATTCAACCTACAAATGAGGCAGTCAGAAGGAAAGAGGCAAGTTGGAGGCGTATATTGATTGTTCAGCCACCCATTGAAGAATTAGAACTGAATGGCCCACCATCCTGGAAGGTTAAGGATCGATTTGGTGTAACAATGGATGAACTGGGAAGCCCATTGGGTAAACTGAGATGTGTGGATTTTGAGATCTTTACAAGTGGGAAGTCCCGTATGATTGTTGAGAAGCAAATGAAACGCATGGCCCATTGACAGTTTAGTGTTTACTGAGTTGTTCTTGTTCTTCAGTCCATACAGAATTATCAACTTTGGCACTGCCAGTTTGTTCTGTGTAGGGAAACTAGGAGGATCCCTATCAAATAGTTAAGCGGTGACAGCTTCAGTGGTATGTAACTTTCATATTTAACAGCAGTAGATGCTTGATAAAAAAAAATTACCGTTCACACATTTTCACTCTGCCTTGATCCTTCCAGCAAAGTTTCTTTCGCATGGCTACACTGGGTTTTGATACTCTTTGTGCCGTATTATTATCATTATTTTCAGAACCTTTATGTTAATCACTGAAATAGTCAGTTGAAATTTTTTAATTACTGTTATTTCAAATTGCAACAACAAAATGCTCTCGTGAAAATAGGATACACACTTGTCATTATCTTACATCTTCCCGTCGAGATTTGAAAAATCAATCGTTCAGCGTCAGGGACACCCATTCATACCATGCTTTAGTCCCGATCATATCCGGTCATCATATCATCAGCTAAAGGCGACAGACGTCGATCTTTCCTGGAATTATGGTGGCTAGGCTCATGAGAATGTCGATATTTATCACCATGGGGAGATCCTGTCCGACTCCCATGTCTACTGTGTCCCGACGTCCTTTCTCTAGAGTGCGGTGCGCTTCCGGGGCTTAACAGACGCCTCACCCCATCCCCACCTCTTAAAAATCCAACCATATCTGCAGGTCGTTTTCCCTCCTTATCTCTCACTTTTGGATCTGCACCTGAATCTATCAATAGTCTTACCATATCTTCCTTCACTTTGGCACTTACTCCATCAATAAAGTCAACTCCAGCGATCGCTCGATGTAATGGACCTCTTCCTTTTTTGTCCCTGACTCTCACATTTGCATCGCTATTGATCAAAACTCTTACAGCTTCAACACAATCGTGTCTGCACGCCAACAATAGTGCTGTGGAGCCCTTCATATCCCTAGCTTCAATATCTGCTCCTTTTTCTAACAAATATTTGATTGTATGCGGATGACCCCATCTAGAGGTAGAGAGGAGTGGTGTATTGCCCCAACCGTCTCTGGCCTCTAAATCTGCTTCATACTCTACCAAAAGCTTCACCATTTCTAGATCTCCAATTCTGGCTGCGATATGCAGAGCAGTCTCTCCGCCTTTTGGTGCCATCGAAGTGTCCGCTCCAGCCTCCAGCAACAAATCAGTTGTTTTCACATGATGTGTTTGTACTGCGGCTATCAGAGGCGTAATATTTTGCGACCACACATTCACATCTGTTTTCTTTACTACATCCTTATGACGGGAGTTTTCTGATCGTGGACGACGTGGAGGATCAATGAGAATATCAAGAATCTCCATTTTTCCTGCACTACTAGCCGCGATGAGTGCTGGCGCCATATCTATTTGATGATCTTGGGAAAGAATATTTTTGACCGCGCTTGTATTTCCTTCGTATGCTGCTTTGGCTAATTCGGTCGATGGAGAAGTAGCTTTCTTTGAAAGGTAAGCTGTGACTTCCTTTATCGCGATCGGCGCGAAGGTCTTGATTATAGTGTCCATTTTGGTTGTAATATGATGATAGTAATTGTTCTGGTGGATTTCTCGCGTTGATATGGTGAGATCCCCCGCTACAAAATGTGTGACGTCCAGACATTCAAAGCCACAAACCTGCTAGTAGCGTCCAACTGTTTGATTCGAGATGGACTATAAGGAGTTTCAAATGTATCGCCACATACAACTATGAGCACAACCGGGAGGATCTCATGTGCTTTTCCATCATACAGGCAAATTGAGATTTCCAAAGTCGCTCCATTGAAATCAGCTGACTATTGAGATTTTGTCTTGGAGATGTATCTGAATCATACGATGTCATCATCCTGATATGCAGCATTCCAGCCCAACCCCACGAAAATGACAGAATGCATGGGTCAAATGTTTATTGAAAATCTTATTCGCCAGCTGATTGTCTTTGAGACATGTTTTGTGCAACGTCAGTTCAGCTGGAGCCTTGGCTCATCGTATGATGAAAATTGTGGCTTTGAGCTTGATCTGTTCGATGTATCAGATTCATGTGATGAGTCGGAGATATTCAAGTATTTGAGTGAAGTATATTCACGGATTTAGATACTTTCTTGGGCGTGAGATGTTGAATTACCGTTTTTGTCCGGAGCATGCACAAAACTACCGATTCTACAACGCGATTAAGGATGAAGCAATCCCAATTCATACTCTATGGAGCTGTCGCTTCAGCTCAAAGATTGTTACCTCGACGAATCAGAAGCCTTATTGTGTACCCGAAAAAACACTTCGTTTGCAAACCAGATCAAGACAAGAAATGTACTTTCTTGGCAAAAGCACTGAGCATTCAACCCTACTTACGACACCACTAGAATTTTCAGCGCCAATCGGTTGTGACTCGCTTTGAAGCATTGAACTAGACGAAGGGTACAAATGTGGTCGATAACTCATCAACCTAACAACCCCTTTTCCCATTCTTCCTCGTTGGGTCCAGATGGTGTCGCCAGTGCTTGGAGAACTCGTCAGTATATTGAAGAAAGCCGCGTCTTCATCTACGCGCTTAAACTACACGGATTCTTCAGTGGCTCGATGCTACCATGGAAAGAGATGGATGTAATTCCTCTTTTTCAAATCCGATCCTTCTATGTTTACGACGGCCTAGGTAGGAGATGATGGTTAATACGAGTTTTGGCAAGAATACTGGACCGTGTGTGTCACTCAAGCTATGAAGAAGAAGAGAAGAGTATATGGTGAAGCTAGCTGAGAATGATTGAGCGTTGAGTGAATTGAAACTAACACCTAGATTAGCGAGTGGAATTATATTGATGACATTAAAGACTACTATGTACGTGGAGTTTTTCTTGTGGGAGTCACTCCATGAATATTCTGTTAATATAAATTATGGATTTAGAGGTCGTTATCAAAAATTATGCAAAGTTGTTGTTGGTGTCAACTTATTGATCAGCGTAAAGTACTTTAGTTTATTATGGTTGCAATCATTCTTGATCATTATTATTTATGGGAAGTTAGTGTCCTATATAGGGAAGCGCTAGATAATACAATGCCCTTTGTAATCTGATCTTATAGTTTCAGAATCCACCTAAAAAATAGTAGATGAAACATTGATTGATATAGTTTTCTAATATATTAACTAGAGACTACAGACAGAGTATAACTATCCCACCCCGCAATATCGCTGATATATTTCAGTTTACTAGAGAAATTGATCATCACATCTTTATGAGTTATGGGATGAATAGTGTATATCAATGCAATACCTTGAAAAATATAAACTACCCCTAGTCTCACTAACCTCTCTCAAGAACCTGCTAGCATTAACTCTCTCTCGTCTTGCTTTTTTTAATGATTGGTTGCTAAATCATTAAAGCTAGTTGGGGATAGGCTGCGCAACGGGTACCCACAGGGCGGATAATAGCCTCGGCAGATAATCTGCAAATAATCCGTCTGTAGAATGAATAATTTAGAATCTGAACAGGTAATCTGTAAGACAAATATAAATTACCCGCAAATATCCATCTACTTATATATTATATAACTATTTATAATTTTTCATAATATTAATATAATTTTATAATTAATATAAAAATTAATATAAATCTAAACTTGAATTACTTTTAAACTGGAAAATAATTTAGGAATAACTTTATATTTTAAATAAATCTCTACTTTTTTCAAAGAATTTATATATCTACGAATTATTTATAAATAATCTATAAATAATCTATCTACTTATATATTCACAAATTATTTACAAATAATCTATAAATTACCTATACAAAACAAATAATTTTAAAACCTTAACAAATAATCCACAAAATGAATAAAACCTCTAACGGATAACCCATGGAGCGGATTATCCGCAGATAATCCACGGGTACAAATAATTTGTACGCAGCCTAATTGGGGGGTTGTTTCTCAGTCAATCACTTACCCTCTAGCTTCGAATCTTGATTTATCGGTACGAGCACCATGAGCATATGAGAAGAGAACCGATGATGTAGCATCTACGCTACAGGTCAGGTACTAAATTCGAAGAGTGCGTTCGGTTCACTTTTTTAAATTATTAGACCTCATTTATTTAGTGAATAATACAAAATAATGTATTTATCAAACACAACAAATTATAATATATTTATTTTGGATTTAAGAACACATAAAAGTATTTAATATTATTTCATGTTATTTATTTACTAAATAGTAGCGATTATCGAATGTAATATATAATGAAATAATATATTAGAGGTTTAAATCAAAATAATTATTTTGAAAATAATTTAAACTTTTTCTACACAGTAGCTGTAAAGCTCAACTGTCGATTATATAAGAAAGATTATTTGATATTTCTGATTATTTCTCTTTATATGCTTTTATAAAAATCATAAATATAATATATAATTTAATTATTACTCAATTATATTAATATTTATCGAACGCTATATCAAGTCAAATATATTAGAAATTAACTTTTTTTAGGATTTCAATAATTTATTAAATTTTAAAATCAAAATAAGATTCTAAATAATTTATTCTAATCTATATAGTATATATACTTCATTAATGTTGGTTTAAGTTTAGGTTCGAGAAGGATATAGAAGACGTAGCACCTACGGTATTCGTAAGTCCTAAATGTCTATATTGTATTCTGTCTAAAGAGCTAGCTAAGTACAGGATGTTATAGGCCTTATATAGACGCTACAAGAAGAGCTAGTCTCTTCTGCTTTCGCTTACAACTATAATATAGTAGCTAATGAATTGAAGCTAATTACTAGATTCAATGATCAATGTTCATACAATTAAAATATTAAAGAATATTTAAATTACTTAACAAATAAATTTGACTAACAACTAGCCTCAAATAATTTTAAAAAACGATCTAAACACACTCTAATTGTCGATCTTAAATTCTAATAAAGAGCTAGCTAGCTCTATAAACAGTACAGGAAGAAGCAACCTTTAAACAATAAGGCGAGTCCACTCGCTTACTTGACTATAGTAGTTGAATAACTTAAAATGTTCCATTCATATCGATTTTCTAATTCACCATTATTCTTGCCCCTGACATCTTACCTATTTTGACTCCGTCGAACATCCTGAAAGATACAATCACACGTATGTCACGATTATCCCTGAGCCAAAGCCCATGTATACAGGAAGGTTTGCAGATAAGCTATTTACTCTCTAACCCACGCGTTCAACAAAATTGCATCATAGATACCGAATCATACGATTAGCCAAATTCACTTGCGGATCGTAGATTCGTGCCTCAAGATAGCTGGATTGAAGGAGGAGCAGGTTTTATTGCGGAGATGGAGAATTTCGCGTGTGAAAGGGAATGGTAGTGGTTGATTATATCTATCTGTTTTATATGTACGATATGTGTGACGGTCTTTTTATTCATCACGGCGCTGTAATGCATGGAATCGGATATTCATATCGTGGCAATGGGTAGATTGTTTTGCACTGGCCGTCCTGTGGATCTCCGCAGCTACTTTCTAGTACTCGGGGTACTCAAGCTGTCAAGGACAGATATCGTGAGGATGCCGGCTGTGGTATTTCTAGGATTGTTCTCTGTATGCCTAGTCAGTTATGGCCACGAGTTGATACTTCACTGGGAGAAGCGTTGAGGCGATTTAGCACAGGAAGAGGAAAGGGGGCTCTGAAGCGAAGTATGGGTATACTTGATTGAGCGGTGATTCAGCTACTAGGGTTTATATTCGCTGGAAAGTATTATACTCTTTTTGAAATTGTTTATGTGGTTGATGAGGTATTTTGTCATTCTGTTAAAGTATGTAGATATTTGACAATAATTAAGAGAGGTCCTGTCCTGTTCCCAAGCTCGTACGAATCAGAATATATTTCAGAATCCCGATCCCAGAGCTCGTGAGTCTTCTGGCCCCCCACTCTCAAACGTTAATTATAACCTTCCCTCTCGCATGACCTCCCTCAACAATAGCAAATGCTTTTTCAAAATCCCGCAACGGCCACACACTATCAAGCGTAGCCTTCACCTGCCCCTTCTCAATCAACTTCGCCGTTTCCTCCAACTGCCACCCTTCAGGCTCCATGACAAAAAACCTTCCCTCCACATCCTCTGCCACCCCTTCCCTCGGTCTCCACACACTCGGATCCTCCTTAACACTCACCACTCTCCCCCCCCTCTTCACCACCTTCCACGCCTGCACCAAACTCTCCCCCCCCAGTAAATCCACCACCAAATCCACCTTCCTCCCCGTTCTCTTCCCCCAAGCCCCCACTCCCTCCCTCCCATAATCCAACACCACATCCGCTCCCAATCCCCCCACCATCTCCACATTCCCCGCAGAACAAACCCCAATCACTTCTCCGACCCCCCCCGCCTTCGCAAACTGCACTAATAGCGTTCCGACCCCCCCAGACGCGGCATTAATCAACACCGTCTTCCTCTCATTCTCTATCTTCGCATCGAGTGCATACACGCAGCGCAGACCTCCATGTATATACAGTGCCTGCCATGCTGTAAGTGCGCTAAGTGGTATACTGGCTGCCTCTTCCCAGGAGAGATTTTTCGGTTTCCGGGCCAGCTCGGATGCTAGCGCGATGGTGTATGCGCGAGCGTTTCCGGGACGGGAAAAAGATGTTCGAGTATATATCTCTGTGCCGGGAGGGAAAGGAGAATTGGGGGGTGCCGTGACAACGGTGCCGGAGAGGTCGTAGCATGGGATTTGTAGTTTTGAAGTTACGGAGGAGGGGGAGAGAGTTGGGAGGAGAGAAGTGTAGGCGGAGAGGTTGGCTGTCCAGGTGAGTTCGCCGGCGCAGGGAGAGGTGGAGTGTACGTGGATGAGGTGTTCGGTGGTTCCTGGGGTGGCTACAGGGGTGGGAATTGTGGCGAGGATGAGTTTGGGACTGTGGATGTCGGGTTGGAGGAGGGCTTTGATGGTTTGGGGGAGAGGGTGTGAGAGGGGGGTGGAGGGCATGATTGATAATGTGATGATGCAATTGTTTCGATTGAAATTTTCGAGGCCTGATATAGGAAGTTTTCAAAGATTGACTGAAGATTTCGTTTTGATGGAGTATGTATGTATCCAATTATTTATGAATGTACACAAAAGCAGACAAACAAATAAGTGCCTACCTAGGTAGTCAGTATCTCCCAAAGTCCAACAAAGAAACACAATCTCAGATACCGAAAACAAATCTCATCTCCTCGTTCCCCTCTTTATACACTATTCACACTTTTTACACTTTGCAAATTTCCCTTTCCACAATCAAATCACTACATTTCCCCTTGCCGCATTGAAAACTTCCCGATCTGACAATCCCAATGCCCATCCACCTATCTCGCGTCAGCATCAATATCAATATCCTGTACCGGCTCGTACACACCTCAATTCCATCCATCCATCCATCCACTCACCCATTGCTCATCATCACCACATCTCCCCACGAAAAAATAGAGAAAAACAAAACCACAACCAAAAATACAACATACAGTTATCAAATAATCAATGCCCTACCCGAATCCCATCTATCCAATCCAATAACCCACCTCCAAACCACTTCCCCAATCACCCCAAAAACCCATACATCCATGCATCGTGCTTACATACCACGCGTACCCTAAGCCTAGAATTCTTGGCGCGGGTATACTAATAGGCGACCACAACTAGATAGATACCCCAGTTCGCCCGATATCAGAATCAATATCAATATCAGATAACCGAGAAGGCAATACGGGTTCTTTCATCATCGTTTTCGTTTGATTCATAGGCTATGAGAGTTCATTCCGCAAGTAAGTGCGGGTTCTTTGTTTGTGGAGGATTGGATTGGGTAAGATGAGGAGGGGTAGGTATTGGTGTTGATCGATTAGGATTGAGAACTAGAGATTGAATTTGATGATTATTTGATTTTGTTGACTGTGTAATGCACGTTGAGTCATCTATTAATGTATCCATTATATTCTATTTACAATTTCCTTCGACTACTCACTATCGACTCAGTCGATGGCAAACATTAAACGAAATGTAACAAATGAAAAAATCCCAATGGGTAACAAATAAAGCAATGTAGGTATCTTTCCCATCCATCCATGCCGTCCATCCATCTTCCAGTCTAGTCATCAAACGCACTTTACGAAATTACTTTCCTCTGCTTATGAATTTTAAATTCACCTCAGACACACACTCGCTCCCATGCACATCTCGAATTCCCATTACCAAAAAATCTAACCATCCTCCTCGAGGAAGCCCATCAAAGCTCTAATGCCACCAGCACCTAAACCACCCTTAGGATACGCAACATAAATCCCATCATTCCATGTACCCATCTTCTCTCGGAACTCACTCTTGCCCAATAATCTTGCCTGCTTAACAATTGTCTCATAAGCCTTCTTCAGCGCCTTAATTCTATGTTTGCCCAAGTTTCTTCCACCTTCAATATGTGGTTGAGCACCAGTACCAAAAGTGATACGTTTGACATCCGGCTCTGCTGCACTCAATTGTTTCATTGAGTAAAGTAGAAGAGACTCCACAGTACCAGAGGGGGCACCTGGGAATTCGAGAGAGAATTTTACTTGGTATCCGTTCTCAGGACTGAGTTGATGAAAAACATTAATGGCGTGAATGGTTCCATCAGGACCTTGAGCGTAGAAGTATTTACGATGAGCCTCATCGACCCAAGGTCTAATTTCTGTAAGATGAACTTGGGTACCCTTTCTATTCTTGTGCCAATCTTGAACTCGTGTGTTAACCTTCTCTTTGAAGTCATCTGGAACTGGTTCATTGAATGGAAGGGTTTGAAGTTTGATGCCCTCTTTTTCAGCGTGTCGAACTTTGCGTGCCAAGTCATTATCCTTAGCTGCGGGATTATTCCGAGGATCGGCACGTTCTTCGGCTGCTGGAGACAAAGTACGCCAACCGAATTTTTCACCCAGATATTCTTCAGTACGAGAACCGATGATCATCCAAATTGGCTTCAAATTCTTATGTTCGGTAGTCAAGTAATTGAGGAAGGCAGAAACGATGGCTGGTGTTTGAGATTTATCGCAAAGAGGCTCTCCAACAATAATGGCATATGAGTTATGGATAACATAACCTTGTGCTGCACCAGTAGTCGAATGTCTCCATACATGATAGCGTTTGTCTAACCAAGAGGTATTGGCTGCATCACCATAATTGGCAATTAACTTCTCCAAAGATGGGAGCAACTCGGGAGTGAATTCCTTTCCTTCCTGCTCCCATATTGGGTGAAGTGTTGATGCATCCTCGTGACGAAGAACAAGAGTAGGTGGTACGGCTGGAAGTGATTTGGGATCTCTTGGGAATAGAGATGCAAGTCGAATATTGCCAAGACTAAGGAAAAGGTATGTAAGACGCTCAAGCCCAATCCCACAACCTGCGTGAGGTGGTGCTCCCCATCTGAAACCTTCAAGATAATCAGACATACTTTCTGGCTTGACACCCTTTTGCTTCATACGCCTTTCCAAAAATTCAGCATCGTGAATACGTTGACCACCAGTCAAAATTTCTTGACCACGCATAAAAATGTCGAAAGAGTTAGTGAATCGATCATCTTCTGGGTCAGGCATGGTATAAAATGGTCGAACAGAAGCAGGAAATTTGTCGAGGATATAGTAATCAGTATGATACTTTTCCTTAACCAACGCACCCAACCGAATCTCAGCTCGAGTAGAGAGATCCTCGGTTTCGGATGGTATACTTCCATCTTCTTCAACCCAACCCGAATCTACCAACATCTTGACACCAACGGAGAATGGAATTCTTGGTGTCTCATCTAACCATTCGACCTTGGTATGCGGATAGAATTGGTCAATGAGATCAATTTCTTTTTGATATCGGTCGTAAATTCCCTTCCAAAGGTTCTTGAACATACCGTCAATAAGAGTCAAAGCCTCATGGTAATGTTCTTCCAAAGCCATCTCGAGATCTAATCCAGTATATTCGGTCAAATGACGTGGTGTGTTACTATCTTCGGCACGGAAAACTGCACCAATTTCATAGACTCTCTCGAAATCGGCTGCGATACACATTTGCTTAGCCAATTGTGGGGATTGGGCCAAGAAAGCAGGTCTTCCAAAATAGTTGAGCTCAAAAACGGTTGCACCAGACTCGGTAGCACCGCCTTGTAATTTTGGTGTGTGGATTTCAATGAAACCTTGGGTATCGAGATATGATCGGAAGAGGTTGCAAATTCCAGACTGAATACGGAAAATTGCCTGTGCTGGAGTTGTTCGCAAATCGATGATTCTGTTGTTCAATCTCACTCTTTGTGGGAGAGATCGTTTTTGGTGATGACCAGTATCCATGGAAGCTATTCTGGCGTTAGTTATAAATCTTCCAATCCCGGGGCAGGAAACTTACTTCTACTCTCCAGATTCTTATCATCCAATCTTGCAAAAGCATTACGTGCAAGATCAGTAGAAGCACGAGAAGGAGGACCTCTTGGTGTATCTGTTGAGATTGGTGACATTGGTTGACTTGCTGCAACCGAATCATCACCAGAATCATCATCCATGTCAATTTCCTTTTCTCTGTTGATATTCTCTGCATCGTAGACTGTAAATGGTACATTTTCGGTCAATGGGACCACTCTGTGAATTTCATAAACTTGCAATTCGTAATCATGAACTGTAGCATTCTTGACAGTCTGGAGGGATTTTCGGATTTTGGCATGAGCAACGACGATTGTTTCGGCGGGGTAATGTTCGACAGTTCTAACCATCTGTTCGGAAATTGTACCATGTTCTGCAAAACAAATCGGATCAGATGTATTCCTCATAGCATTTTTCGCAGTCAAACTTACCATTTTGTTCTTCTTCAGGTTTGAAGCTCTGCAAAACTCCCTGAATTGTCATGGTTTGTTGACGGAAAACAATGAATACCAATTTGGCAGACATCCTTCGCAATGTATGCATTCGAGCTCGGAAACTAATAATTTGACCATCCATTTCTATTCGGAATATTAGCAGATGAAAGTATGCAGGGAGAATATGTCAACTTACCAGCCCAATTGATGTTCTTGAACAAAGCTCTCTCCTCATGTCTCCAATGTTTACTTTGAATCATACTATATGGTCGATAAAGTTGTGTAAGAGCTGCCGGGCCTTCTTTCAAGAACTTCTCATCTTCTATTCTTGCCAAAGATTGCTTCTTCTTATTCTCGGCCTTTGCACGTTCCTTGTCCATGCTCCTTCTCGCCTTATTCTGCTCGAGAATCTCTCGACTCACTCGTCGGGAGTTTGACCGTTCTGGCGTTTGAGCACCATTGTTTTGAGGAGTGCTTGATAAAGGCCCCGTGGACCCAGAGGAACCTTCAATTCCTTCTTCTTTACTTGCAAGCTGTGGAACATTTTCGCTGCTCGAATTGTTGCTATTGTTATTACTTTTGCCGATGCGATCCGGTATCAATTTACTGAGGCGTTTCTTGAGGGCCGACATGATGAGAATGTGTGTTTGTGTGTTTTCTATCTTCTGACGAAACTTGGGATAAACTTGAATGGGAGCTGATTAGATAGATATTAAAGTTTCTACGCGAGTAAGTTGCAGATTCAACTGCAGTCCGATGATTAATCCCGAGAGGTGGATGGAAAAGTATTTAACCATACAGCGTCGGCACTTATTATTTTAGTTGGGGGTGGAATCCAAGCTGACGGAAGAGCCGGAATGACGGAGTGAGATTAGACGACAAGCTCTCTCCCTCTCTCTCTCTCTCTCTCTCTCTCTCTTCTGGTGATTGTTGAGTCAACCTTGAAGTTGGGTCTCGTTGGACTTTGATTGGTAATTGATGAAAGAAAAGTAACGAGGTTGGTATGCGGGGTGATAGGGAATATGGGAGGTGTGTGTTTGTTTTTGTAAATAGCGGAAGAGGCAGAGAAAGAGAAGAGGATTGCGAGATCGATAAGGTCTTTTTGTTCTTGATCTCAAACTTGTATTTGATGTCTCTTTGGATGAGGAAGGGA